TCTGGGTCCATCCTGGAAGATATATTTATGGCACACCTAAAGCGGAAGGTCATCGATAACCTCATCAGAAATGTTCTGTACGTGAACCACATGTTGCTCATGGCAGAATCATAGGCGGTGGCTTTGAAAGTATTCCAAAGCCTGAACAGTACCCATCCAAATATAAAGTTGATAATGAGAAACGAAGAAAATGATTAATTGTCTCTCCCGGAGAACCGATTGAAGCCTTGGTTGATCTGTGCATTGCAAATACACGTGAAGGGGTCTATATCTCCATTTCATAAGCTTCTTCCCCAAACAAGTGCTAGTGAGGACACTTTATGGTCGTGAGAAGAAAAAATTGTACTCCTGAAAACGTTGCAGATGAAATGTAAAAACTGAATAGCACCCTCGAGGACACAATGTTTAAACGAGCTTGTTCGTGAAAAAAGCATAGCATTGTACGTCCAACGGTAGAGTCACCGATATCCGTACCGAAGTCTAAGGTTTTCCTAAAACTACCGTTCAAGGGTGATGATGTGAGTAACTTGTTGGAGCACCGCCTAAACTCATCCCACAAACGAACATTCAACACAGCCGAAACAGTTTTCGTCCACACATATGATAGAATACCGGTTCCTCCAGTCAAGCAACCGCATTCGCAGTATGCCGAATCCCACCAATTCGTCTGTGGGTGCTCGACCACATACAGAGGCAGCTTAGACAAACAGTAGCCGAACACATCCCTGTTTGGGTCAACAAACTGTTGAACGAGTCACACCCGTATGATCAAGGTGAACGATGAACCGAACGCCGCACACCAGCGTCATCGATCTCTCGTCACTTGTTAGAGAGGCTGGGCATCAAGTGAGCGTGACCATAGCATTTAAGAGTGTCCTTATCACACAAAACTTTCAGGTTGCTCCATTTTGCAGAGGCGAATGCTATAAAAGAGTGGAAGCCTTAACTGTGCAAGCAGAAAGAGTTATATGTAAATCTAGTTCTAGACTATTAGAAAGGTGGATGAATAGAACACCACCAGCTCATCCGAGGTAAATGGTACTTGTTACTTTGCATTATATTCTTCCGCAAATAAGTTGTTCAACACCGTGTTGCTGTGTTCTTTATGCAAATTCATATCGTGAAAAGGTTGTTACAGTTAACTTATTCTGGCAATCATCGAGTTGTAAGCAAATGTTACCGGATCTGTTTGAGGCACAGTATTGTTTCGTTGCCCTTCCAAGCACTTGATGCACGTTACCCTGGGGTTCTCGAATGAAATTTCAGTCTGCTAAGGAATTTTAAATGGAACAGACCGAGTCAGCTGCTACTAAGCACAATTACCATTTAGGTCCAAGTAGCAAGATAATTTTTCAAGTTAGACCAACTGAATAGCATAGGTGACAGTGGTGTCCCCATTGGGCTACCAATAGTTGAAATAATCAATGCGAAGTGAGTGTGTTTATATGCAGGTATGTAAATGTGTGTGGGAGTGTGGTACTTGGGAAAGCAAATGAACGTATAGAGATCCCGATTATTCTTTATCGATTTCACTCGATTCATTTATGTGAAAACAAGTATTAGAATCATTCGCCATACTAAAATTAGTGAAATATTTCTCCCAGGAGATTCGTTTAGTTTATTAGCCAGAAATGGATGGAAATTTTAATTATGAGACCATCCGAAACTCTATGCTAACGAACGTACCTCCAGGT